TTTCAATTTATATAAGAACATTTTCTAGTGGTTGTAGTAACAACGTTTACAACACACAGTACATACTACGATGTTTAGCACGCGAGTGAAGAGAACGTACCATTTGTAACACAGCAAGCGTCTCGGGGGTCGGTACAGGGACCTTCATAAGCATCTGCAACTGACGAGTCATAACATCCCTCCATATCACTGACTCAACCCTCCACTCTCGACGTGAACTCGATCTATAACCAAAGGTAATATACTTCAAACAAAATAACACGGCAATGAGCAATGCAGGTTCTTCATAGCTCATTTACTAATTTGTCTACTCCCTACAGGCTGCCTTGCTCAAGATCTAAGACATAGCGCGGATAAGAGATATTTTCATGAATTTAATACAGTCGTGTATTTCATCAACCACCGACACTGTTATTTAATAACATGACGAGGCACCTATTCTTGCAAAAGATCCACATATAAACATTGGCTTGGTTTATTTACATATAAATCCGCTATTGTTTACAATTACAAACAGCGACTAGTTCTTTTAATTAATTAACTACACTGAGATTTCACTGTTAAAACTTTTTTTTATCGACACCAATTCAGTGACATGCTGGGGATCGTGTGCATGCATGAACTAATAATAATCCTCGGACCAACCGTCCTGACCTGATTCCGATGAAGATAAGAAGATGCCATCAACAAAGACACACCAACGCATCTATGCTACTAGCTGCTTGCTACATACCCTTAACTGAATCTTATCAAGGAGACGTGAGAGCTTGTACACCCAGCCGCGCCCAACACAGCGTCACTTAGTCAACAGTCGACCTCCGGTTTGCTTCTCGAGTTTACTCTGCTGCATCCTGGCTTCGGCTATCAAAGCGGTCGACCCGCGGATTTCGCCCAGCACCCCGGGCCCAGCATGTCGGATGTAGAACGGTTCAAATCTGCACCGGAATCGTCACGATATAGCCGAGAAAAGAAAAGCCCAATTCTAATAAAACTTCTAAGTGTAATCATCGCCCACAACAAAAACGTTAAAGATCACATTGACATGGGGTGAACATGCTGGGTATCTTGTAATGCAAGACGATTGGACATGCAGGTGGAACATGCTTCTAGTCATGTTGAGCAGAGTTGAAATGAGTTGGTACGGCGATGTGTTATCATGGACGAGTGCCAAGGTGAACATGCATGGTGCTAACAGGTGGTATCATGGTTGGATGGAGTGTGAAAGAGTTGTAACGATGTGTGTATGCGATGGTGAGTGCAAGTGGAAAATGAGTTGTAGACATGTGGCGTATCGATGTTGATGGGAAGTTGAAATGAGTGGCTGACATGTTCCTATTCGATTGTGCACGATGCCAAAGTTGACATGCATTGAAGCAGTGTAGTTAGTGGTTGATGGAAGGTGTGACATGAGTGTAGGAGGCACGTGGTGGTAGTAGTCTGGACCGCAAGGTGTGACATGCGTGTAACGATGTGCGTGTATCATGTTGACGCAACGTGACATGTTTGCTAACATGGTACTCGTCGTGTAAAAGGGAACGGCCAGCCGGCCACCATCAAGGGACCACGGTAGAGGATCATGTCAACTTGCATCGTCATGATACAACATGTTACAACTCATTTCAACTTGCATCAACATGATACAACATGTTACAACTCATGTCAACTTGCATCAACATGATACAACATGTTAAACATGTCAAATGTGATCTTTCACGTTTTTGTTTTGCGATGATTACACTTAGAAGTTTTTATTAGAATTGGGCTTTTCTGTTCTCGCTATATCGTGACGATTCCGGTGACGATTTAACAGGTTCTACATGACATGCTGCCGGTGCTGGCGAAATCCCGGGTCGACGCTTTGATAGCCGAAGCACAGGATGCACAGAGTAAACTCGAGAACAAACCGGAGTGCACTGTTGACTACGTGAACAAGCTCACGTTCCTTGATAAGATTCAGTTAAGGGTATGTAGCAAGCAGTAGTAGATAATGTGTACCTTGATGTATTTCTTACATCCGCATACAGACGGATTATTAGTTCGTGCATGCACACGTCCCCAGCATGCACTGAAATTGTCATAAAAGTTTTAACAGTAAAAATGTTAGTGTTAGTTATAATTAAATCCTTGTAATTGTAAACAATAGCTGATTTATATGTAAATATAACCAAGGCAATTTTAATGTGGACTTTTGCAAATGGTGCCTGTCATTGTTTTAAATACAGTGTATGGTGGTTGATGAAATTACACTACTATTAAATCAAAATATTTCACCCTATTCTCTTAGATCTGACAAGGGACCTGTAAGGAGTAGACAAATAGTAAATGACTAAAGAACTGCTTGCTCTTGCCGTGTTATCTTGGTTATATTACTTTTGTTATAGATCGATTCACTCGAGATGGAGGTGGAGTCAGTGAAGGAGATGTATGATCTCATTGAGATCTATGAGGTCCCTGTACCACCCGAGGACCTTGCTGTGTACAATGTACGTTCTCTCATCTTGTCTAAACATCGTAGTATGTTGTGTGTTTGTAATTTAACTACGTTGTTACTACAACCACTAGAA